ATTGTAAAGTTTACATACTTTTAAGAGTTAAAATGGTTATGTATTATCATGGTGGGATAGTGGGTATTGAAGACGTATAATGAGTGTTTGTAAATCTATATAATATGTGAGAGAAGATCGTGGATCATCAGACGTAGTAACAAATAATTAAGCGATTATGTAATAAAGTAATTAAACAAATTAATAACAATTAAGAATAACGTGAGTTGAGATCAATCAGCTCAACGTAAATAATGAGGTTATGACTTCGAAATAAGTGTAATAAGAAGAGTAGAGAGAGAGATAGGAGAAAATTGCAAAAATGATGTCATAAAATGGCGATAAAATCACCATGGTAAGAATTGATTTGCAACTGTGTTCTTTGGGGTTCACGAGTCTGACTTTAGTCGTTTAATAGCCATGGCTTCGATGAATTCGAGAACGGAATTCGACCATCAATTGATGACGCCTAAAGTTTCAAGTTCATCATGTGGATGCTCTGTGTCACAGTGATGCATCATATCATCACTGCTAAATGCCTTTAATCCCACTGACCTGAGACCTTTTGAGAAAAAGTCTTGGAATCGAACCTAGGTCCTCCATACTATTCTACCACTTCGACTGCTTTGACAGGTATATATAACTTTATATACGCAGTTTAAGGTAACATGTAAGGGATATCTATTGATCTTTGTTTGGTGTAAAAAACATATTGCTTTATACAAAAAAATCAGCGTGACTGCAAAATTAGTTTTGCTCAGTTATTTCATCCCAGAACTGACAATAATGTTTTTAAAATAATCGATAACCGTTCTTGTTATATCAGTACGCTGTTTGAGCAAATAAAATATTTAGTCATACCTTTTAGTTTATAACAACGAACAGAAAGTAGACGTTTGTCTATATACAAGCGCCTATGTTTATATGACACAATCAGCGATTATGAGCATGTTCGATCTATTTTTGTACGATTATGTACAAATATGGAGAAACTTCCTTTATATCTATCCTTTCTTGTAACTAGTCCTTTGTATTTCTGTAGTATGTACTCTTTCCCTAATTGTTGTCTTCATTTTGTACATTTAGTCCCATTATTCAGATTCATTGTAATTATCATTACTATATTGTCGACAACTTTTGAATCCTAACAATTTCCCAGATGTTGTTGAATATTTCAATAACCGTTTTATCTTTGTTTCACTTGAGGTTGCTTTTATGGCGGCCACCATATTGAACTGCTATACTTTGATTGATACTTTGTGAGTAGATGAACAAGCAGGGACCGTCTTTAAATAGCAAAACTCGGGAGACAGACACTGAAGCAGTTCAATATCTCGTTCCAACAGAACAATTATTTAAACTTTTTTTCATTTAAAAAGTCATTCAAACGAACGATGTTAAAGATGTGTCAAGTTTTTTTAAGTTTTCTCATTGCTAACCTCGACCTCATACCTCTTAGATGTTATTTTCGAAAACAGACATCGTTCTCAAGTCAATGTGCTATTTTATATAGGATACTTCGTAGTGCATATATCCAAGTCAAGCCCACAACGGTCGCTCTAGCTTCCAGTCACACTAACTTATTCATTCTTCTTAAGTCACAGTTTTACATTGTCAAGTATTCGCCTAACATCCATCTAAACATACTAGTGTCTGAAATAAATTCATCAAACTCAGCTCATGTATGGCATTTGATTACGATTGCCACATGGTGTTAGACTAGATGTAATAAACGGAGTTAGATAGAATGTTGATATTCATGACATATTCATGCGTTCCTTTAAATCGTAGTCATATCAATAGGCCACCGAATGTATTCACTCACATTTGATGTATATAATACAATGTTTTGATCTTTTTAATTTATGTATATAATATAAATTATGTGAAAAATCTGAAAGTCAAGCTAATCACTACTCATGCAGCCGATAGTATTATTCGTTGCAGAATATTACGGACAAACATTAAAATAAGCGATATGTTCAGTGTAAGTAGTCCCCACATTCATTCGCAATCTTAATCGATGATTTCTGTAGAGGCCTATCACCTAATCTAGTTTTCAGGGAAAATGATAGGTAAAGAATCAATGACCAGTTGATTTCTCAGTTCAAGAATCTAATATTTAGTGAAGTAAAAACAACATAACTTTGAAGAAAAGTAAAATACTACACCGATCAAAACAATCAAGAAAATACGTTTTGACAGCTGTCAAAGTTTACCAAATCTAAAAGTAGCTATTAACGTGCTGGTTATTCACGTTACATTATAATTCACTTGAAGTTTCTGCCGAAAAATCGTTTTCAGGATCATGAGTTCAAGAGGTGATCATAAATAACATTGTGTATTCTATAGAGAGTGATATATGTTTGACTCATGCAATTACTTCTTTATGACGCATTTTAAATAGATGACAGATAACTGGCAAACCTTTTATTGTTTACATTTCATCACACTTCACTATGCCTACTACCTAACCTGATCACATCATTTTAAGAGTTATGTTGGAGTGCTTAATAACGTTTGATCGGTTGATGAAATAATGATTCAGGAATTGTGGAAGGAATGTGACGCACTCAATCAAACATCACGAGACTCACTACTGAAGGTTGAAACTAAACAAAGATAATTGTTAATGATTATACTAAGGAAAATGCTAGCAGAATGATTGTTGGGGACGATAGATCCCCAGACTCATATTTTTGAATTTTATCTCATCGATCAACTTATTGATTAAATGTTTAAATATTTATATTGGGGTCAATTGATGAATTGATCGATTAAATGTTTGAATAGCAGTCAATAGGTGAACTATCGATTCAATAGGCAAATAGGTCAATTTATGAACTCATTGATTAGTGTTTAAAAATTTTCTATGACAGTATCGATTATATATATATATTTGTATAAATACGCTTGACTTGTATGCTTGATCTGATCTGCCTGCCTGACTTGGTATCTGCTGTTGCTTGTAGAATACACTTTTTACGCCTTACCAAGACTTCTTGATCGAGTTAGCTGAGTCGAAGACAACGGACCAGAATAGTCTATTGAGTCTCTGAATCCTGAGCCTTCGTTCCGTTCCGAATAAGTCGAATCAGTAGTATTCTCAAGGTTAACGAACCTAACAATTTGGCGACGGTGGTTTTGGAAACATGGGTCCTTCTAAACTTGAATTATTACTCGAGCAGCAGATGAAACTTATTCAAATGTTAGCAGATGCAAAGCTTACGTCTAATACCCAACCAAGCAGTCCTAATCCTACTACTACTGCACCATCAGTTGATGGTATCGCTAACAGTATCTCCGAGTTTCATTACGATCCAGAATCCAATGTCACGTTTGATATGTGGTTTCGACGTTACGAAGACTTATTCAAATTCGACTTTGCTAATCAGGATGATGCTTGGAAGGTCTGCTTGCTGCTTCGAAAGCTGGGTCCTAATGAACTAGACAGGTATTGCAACCTAATTCTGCCTGTAAACCCACGCGATCGCTCATTCTCGGACACTGTCCAGTCATTGAGCCAACAATTCGGAGACAATTCCTCACTATTCAATGCGCGTTACCGATGTTTGAAGCTCACTATGAACGAAGATGATGATTTTCTCACACATGTGGGTATCGTCAACCGAGAATGTGAACGCTTCCGGTTGAAGTCGCTTACTGAAGATCGATTTAAAGCACTCATTCTCATCTGCAGCCTTCAATCGCAGAAGTTCAGTGACATTAGAACACGATTGCTAAGTCGATTGGACCGAGACCCAAAACTAACCCTTAATGATATTGCAAACGAATATCAACGTCTAATCAATCTACAGCGTGACACTACGATGGTCCAGCGTGGTGGTTCAGATCGTACCGAAGTTCATGTAGTCCAACAACCACGCAACTCGCATAAATATGCCCCAGCGACATCTAGTTCAAGTCAAAAGACAAAAACAAATCCTCCTGCCCCATGCTGGCACTGCGGTGCATGGCATTTTGTTCGATACTGTCCATATAAGCAACATCGTTGCAGGAAATGTAACGCGGTGGTTCATAAAGATGGTTTTTGTCGAAAAAAGAAGCCAAGCAATTCCAAAGGTACCAAGAAGCCTACACCTAGATCCAACACGAATTCATTGAGCCTAATAGCAAGCTGTGAGAACTCATCCCCAGTTGAGAGGAAATTTATTACCCTTAATATTAATGGGCACCCATTTAGATTGCAAATAGACACTGCATCTGATATAACAATTCTCTCACGAAAATATTGGATCAGAATGGGAAGACCACGCATGGTTCCAACAGCACAAAATCCTCGAACTGCATGCAGTAATTACCTACGTTTGTTGGGACAACTAGATTGTAAGGTGTCTTTTCTCGATTCGACGTTTACCGGTGTATGTTACATCACACCAGCTGATCTTAATCTACTTGGGTTAGACTGGTTTGACCGGCTACATTTAGCTGACGTTCTTTTAAGCACCATATGCCATCTGGTGAAACAACCTCATGAACCTGAAGCATATTCGAAAGAACTACTGACGGAGTTTTCAACCAGCGAACACCATACGGCCGGCGAAGATGCAGTTAGTGCCTCCCTAATGACAGAGGACCGCACGCAGTGCTACCTGACAACCGCTATTCGTGCTTTGCCAGTCTCAGCAGCTGAAATACAATCTCCATCCAAAATCGACTCCATCATAAAGAAAGCGATGAAATACGTCACTAATGGCTGGCCGCCAACTGGGATCGATGGTGACTTGAAGCAGCTTTACCACCGTCGGGACTCATTATGTGTCGTTAACGAATGCTTGATGTTTGGAGATAGAGTAGTAGTGCCCGAATCCCTAAGATCAAAGGTGCTAAAGCAATTCCACACTGGTCATCCTGGTATAAAACGTATGAAATCCATCGCCAGAAGCTATGCTAATTGGCCCCTCATGGACCAACATATCGTGGATTTAGTAAGCAAGTGCACACAATGTCAGCAAGCAGCTAAGTGTAACGCGAAAACACTACCAGTCCCATGGCCACAGCCTGAGTATCCCTGGTCCAGGATACATGTCGATTTCGCAGGCCCAATTAATGGAATCACCTATCTAGTCGTTGTTGACGCCTTTTCGAAATGGCCAGAAATCGTTCCCGTCATGCCACCAACGACAACCCAAACGATGCAACTGTTGACAGAGATGTTCTCTCGCAATGGGTTACCGGATATAATCGTTTCCGACAACGGTTCGCAATTCACCTCAAGCCAATTTCAAGAATTTTGCAAACGCCTATCGATCAAGCATTTCCGCTCTCCACCTTACCACCCACAGTCAAATGGACAAGCAGAAAGATTTGTGGATGCATTCAAGAGAGCTCTAATGAAGTCGAAAGGGGAGGGGACGCCAGTAGAAACACTGCAGAATTTCTTGTTTGTTAACCGAACAACACCTAGTGATATGCTACCACAGCAGAAGTCCCCGGCAGAGATCCTGATGGGAAGGAAATTGGGGACGGTCCACAGTCTCATGTGCCCAAGAAACGCACCACCACCATCTCAGACCAAATCTCAGAAGCTTCCAGCGTACAAAGTTGGATGCCCTGTGTTCGCTCGAGACTACAGAGCAAATCATGGTCCTTGGATCGAAGCACGTGTAGAACTATGGTCTACTATGATATTAGTACTGCTCTAATAATAGACCTAATCCTAAATTTGTAGATTCGTCATGATATAACTGCCTAATCTATAAGATCTTACGTGGAAGTCACACCATCGACTACACCAACTCACTGTATCGTATCAATTACCAATACATGATGTAGAACAAGGTTAGGCTAGACATAGACATAGGCATAGACCACGCCTGCATGGCCGAGCCATGCCATTCGATCAACTCCAGTCCATTCAATTCATTGTTCGCGCCTTCGCCTTCGCGTTAAATATCGAATATCTATTTTCTGAGTAGTTTTGTGTTCAGCTTTGTGGATTGTGCGGTTATTGTCCAATGCCACTACACTACTCTCCCACCAGAATCAACGTGATGTTGGTTCGATACCAAATTGGATGGGATCGTCGCGCACCAGAGGTTACCAAGAATAGTAAGAATCCTTCGGGTATTGATAAGCTGAAAAATAAATGAAAAAGAAGGCGGCAGCATCTGGTCGGGAAATACATGTAGTAATTTTAAAATATCTGCCTTTATGCTTAACATGCTTGAAATAAAAATTTGGGTGAAGATTATTTGAGCTATATAAAATGGGATTACAATTATAATAATAAAACGATGCGTGTTAATAGCCGTTGGTTAATAACTTAACGTATAGGTAGTAAGTATTTTGTGTTTAGAAATATTAAAGTAATGAATCTTGTAGAAATGTTAATATTGGTATTAGTTTTGGTTTAAATTATGAAATCAAATAACGATTATGCCGGTAAGTTGTCCATATGAGTTGAATTCCAATTGCATCTGTATTAGTAGGCTAACTGAAGGAACAAAAGTATTACCGTGGAGAAGAATTCCAACTAGTGTTCCAGTTAGTTTGATACGGTTTATTTAGTTAAGGGGAGATTTTCTCAACCTCATTTTTACTTGACCGTGATAGAATTTAGTAATACTACTAATACACATGAATGGTTATCAAAATAAAATTTAAATACATGAGTGATAATTACATGGATTTTGGACAGATAGCTAGGAAAAAATCGTTAAACATGAGTGTGTTCGTAAGAGACATGCTCTAGACTCAATGTTCTGATCTGCGATAGACTATTTATTTATATTTATACTTGCCGGCTGATGGTGCATACAAGTTAGTTGCAAGTATGCCGTTTATCATAAAACGGAACACGATTTAATTGAGATATGGTGATTATAAGTTATTGAAATCAGTTAAGCCTGTGTCACATTACTAGGTGATGTGGTGCTGTAAGATGTACTCGGCCAAATAAGTTTTTACAAGATGATTAACCGTAAGTGACGCTCATGTGATTATCAGGGAGAACATAAGTTGTAACCAAGGGGAGTACACTCCCAACTCATGTCTATGATAATGGCTTGAACCTTAGTCAGTGTTGGGGTAAATTCGACATTGATGTTTTCAGTTTGCAGGAGATTTGCTCGACTGCTTATACTGATTATTTGCATGCATGATTGTGTCGCTAAACCTCCAATTAGACTGACAAGGTTTTGAGATATTTGCTGAATAAGCAACTGATAGAGAAACCTACTGTAATCATCTGTAGTGAATGAAGATAAAAGAAAAACAGCACTAGTGATAATCATAAGTCAATTTGCTGATCGATTTTGTTAAGTTTCATTAATTTTATCAATCATATTACGTGATTGTCAAGCCATGGCAATGCTTTATGACGATATCCTGAAACTATTACGTCCAATGCCACTACACACGTGTGGTCGGAAGACTAGGCCAAGTTATGTACGAGGTAAAGGTGGGAAGAGACACGTGGACTAGACACCGAAATCAACTACGTAAGCGGATAGCCTCGGACCGCCCATCAATCAAACATCACGAGACTCATTACTGAAGGTTGAAACTAAACACAGAGAATTATCAATGATTCTAGCAGGGAAAATGCTAGCAGAATGATTGACATAGAGTCATTTTTTAACAAAACTTATAAACAACAGCTGTTTATTACTGACTATTTTCAAATTCATGAGGCAATTGCCATGTACAAGATCGCTTACGCAAATATATTTCAAATTTTGTATAAATTTACATGAATAATCATTCACAGACAACAAGAAATTACTTCAAATAGATGTGACAACATCAGAAAACCAGGTTATGTTTGCACGGTGATTTCCTTTTTATGTAGATGGCATTCTGCTCTGTTGTTCCCATTCATTCTGGCTGACAATATTGTCAGATGTGTTGTGCAGATGGATTGTGACAATGAAGTGTGGCTGCTGATGTCTAAAAGTCTCGAAGCTATCTGATTAGACTGGAGACTGTTAGGTTGTAAGTGCAAATACCATTAATATCTGTATATCCAAATTTTTGTATATCTGATTACTAGTTTATATAATCCAAACTAAGAAAAGCAGCTTATCTAACTCCCTGAGATGGTGGAGAAGATTTGTAGCTCAGGTGGATGATTTTGATGGAGTTTCGTTCTCTGAGCTGGATGGTTCGGTCGTGGTGCTTAAAAGAACGTCAGCTAAATGTAGCCGGTCAAACCAGTCTAACCCAAGTAGATTAAGATCAGCTGGTGTGATGTAACATACACCGGTAAACGTCGAATCGAGAAAAGACACCTTACAATCTAGTTGTCCCAACAAACGTAGGTAATTACTGCATGCAGTTCGAGGATTTTGTGCTGTTGGAACCATGCGTGGTCTTCCCATTCTGATCCAATATTTTCGTGAGAGAATTGTTATATCAGATGCAGTGTCTATTTGCAATCTAAATGGGTGCCCATTAATATTAAGGGTAATAAATTTCCTCTCAACTGGGGATGAGTTCTCACAGCTTGCTATTAGGCTCAATGAATTCGTGTTGGATCTAGGTGTAGGCTTCTTGGTACCTTTGGAATTGCTTGGCTTCTTTTTTCGACAAAAACCATCTTTATGAACCACCGCGTTACATTTCCTGCAACGATGTTGCTTATATGGACAGTATCGAACAAAATGCCATGCACCGCAGTGCCAGCATGGGGCAGGAGGATTTGTTTTTGTCTTTTGACTTGAACTAGATGTCGCTGGGGCATATTTATGCGAGTTGCGTGGTTGTTGGACTACATGAACTTCGGTACGATCTGAACCACCACGCTGGACCATCGTAGTGTCACGCTGTAGATTGATTAGACGTTGATATTCGTTTGCAATATCATTAAGGGTTAGTTTTGGGTCTCGGTCCAATCGACTTAGCAATCGTGTTCTAATGTCACTGAACTTCTGCGATTGAAGGCTGCAGATGAGAATGAGTGCTTTAAATCGATCTTCAGTAAGCGACTTCAACCGGAAGCGTTCACATTCTCGGTTGACGATACCCACATGTGTGAGAAAATCATCATCTTCGTTCATAGTGAGCTTCAAACATCGGTAACGCGCATTGAATAGTGAGGAATTGTCTCCGAATTGTTGGCTCAATGACTGGACAGTGTCCGAGAATGAGCGATCGCGTGGGTTTACAGGCAGAATTAGGTTGCAATACCTGTCTAGTTCATTAGGACCCAGCTTTCGAAGCAGCAAGCAGACCTTCCAAGCATCATCCTGATTAGCAAAGTCGAATTTGAATAAGTCTTCGTAACGTCGAAACCACATATCAAACGTGACATTGGATTCTGGATCGTAATGAAACTCGGAGATACTGTTAGCGATACCATCAACTGATGGTGCAGTAGTAGTAGGATTAGGACTGCTTGGTTGGGTATTAGACGTAAGCTTTGCATCTGCTAACATTTGAATAAGTTTCATCTGCTGCTCGAGTAATAATTCAAGTTTAGAAGGACCCATGTTTCCAAAACCACCGTCGCCAAATTGTTAGGTTCGTTAACCTTGAGAATACTACTGATTCGACTTATTCGGAACGGAACGAAGGCTCAGGATTCAGAGACTCAATAGACTATTCTGGTCCGTTGTCTTCGACTCAGCTAACTCGATCAAGAAGTCTTGGTAAGGCGTAAAAAGTGTATTCTACAAGCAACAGCAGATACCAAGTCAGGCAGGCAGATCAGATCAAGCATACAAGTCAAGCGTATTTATACAAATATATATATATAATCGATACTGTCATAGAAAATTTTTAAACACTAATCAATGAGTTCATAAATTGACCTATTTGCCTATTGAATCGATAGTTCACCTATTGACTGCTATTCAAACATTTAATCGATCAATTCATCAATTGACCCCAATATAAATATTTAAACATTTAATCAATAAGTTGATCGATGAGATAAAATTCAAAAATATGAGTCTGGGGATCTATCGTCCCCAACAATCATTCTGCTAACATTTTCCATAGTTGAATCATTAACAATTCTCTGTGTTTAGTTTCAACCTTCAGTAGTGAGTCTCGTGATGTTTGATTGAGTGCGTCACATTCTTTCCATAATTCCTGAGTCATCATTTCATCAACCGATCAAACGGTATTAAGCACTCCAACATAACTCTTCAAATGATGTGATCAGGTTAAGTAGTAGGCATAGTGAAGTGTGATGAAATATAAACAATAAAAGCTTTATCAGTTATCTGTCAGCTACTTACAAGCCATAAAGAAGTGATTGCGTGAGTCAAACATACATCACTCTCCATAAAATACACAATTCTATTTATGATCACCTCTTGAACTCATGATCCTGAAAACGATTTTTTGGCAGAAACTTCAAGTGAATTCTAATGTAACGTGAATAATCAGCACGTTAATAGCTACTATTAGATTTGGTAAACGTTGACAGTTGTCAAAATGTATTTTCTTGATTGTTTTGATCGGTGTGGTATTTTACTTTTCTTCAAAGTTATGTTGTTATTACTTCACTAAATGTTAGATTCTTGAATTGAGGAATCAACTGGTCATTGATTCTTTACCTATCATT